TCATGTCATCCACTGGCAAATCCGAGCACCAGAACAGAGTGTGGGTCGAGCCAGGTTCGGTTGCAACAAAAACCAGTGCACAATAAAGAATGCCAAGGTGAGGTTGCCTTTACTGGAAGTGACCAGAGTGCCCAACCAGCATGTGTGAGAACCAGGAAGGGAGGGGGCAGAGCCAGCAGAGGGGAATATGGGGGGTCCCCTTGCTGGACAGCTACTCCAACTGGAGAGCATGAGCTGGGATGGGGGCAGACCAGACTAAGCAGGGCTACAATACATGTTTGCCTCATGTGGACTAGATGAGGGAAAAGCCAGGCTGGGCTGATTATTCCTACTGGTGCAAACAAAATTAGAGTGGGTGAGGGTTGTTTGGGCTTAGCTGCAGCATCAGCTGGCAGAAGCGGGCACTGGGGGCTAATTCTGTCAAGTCAAACTACAGAAAAACCTGGAGAGTGCATGATCTGGGAGTGGGAGAGGCCTGGGAAGGAAACAGTGGGCTCCTCCCTCTTGGGTTACCATTCCAATGGGAGGGCACAAAATAACTAGGACAGGGGCTGGGGTGGCTAGACAGAGAGGCACCCACACCGTCCATGAGGGCTGGATAGTTGAGCTGGTTAGATGGATCTAAGCTTTAATAACCATTGACATGTACAAGAGCCGAATGGGATGTGGGGCAGACTGGACTAGTCTGCTACACATACTGGTGGCAGGGGGCAGGCCTGGTGGGGGTTATTGTGGGTCATTCTGATTAGGCTGTAGCTCCCATTGGTTTATGTGAGGGCTTTGTATGTGCTGGGCAGAATCAGGCTGGACTGCAACACCCATTGGTTCCAGTGGCAGTTGGGACTGAAAACAGAACCAACCCAGCAATTGCATCCGCCAGCTGATCAGGGTGATGGACTGTGCCAGGCCCTGTGCTTGCTAGTACATACAAGAATCTAGTCTGGGAACACCTCAGACAAAGTTTCTTTGGGTATCTCCCAAATTGAAATGCTGGACTCAGAACCCTAATCAAGAAAAGACAGAGGACAAACAGGTCAATCAACCACCTCAGCTACATGTTGGCAGCGAAATACTGGGCAAAGGGAGACTCTATGATGGACTATGTCACTCAGTGGATTCTTCAACGACCTGATCGTGCTTGGGGTGGTGAGATTGGCAGTGATTTGTAACTGGTGAACTATCAAAACCACTTGAGCAAGTATCTCAGAGCATGCCCCAAATTCGGGACCTGGGTTGGGTTAGAAACTGGGTGGGGCTTCTCCCTCAATATCCCCCTTTACCTCAGATACATGAAGGAAACAATATGGAAATAATAGTCTTACCCACTTTCCTATAGCCTTTGAACCTTTTTACCCTAATTAATCATGCAAAGCTTGTCAAAAATATAATAAAAAAGAAAAAAACTGTGCCATGGAAAACAATAACAATAAAAAATTTTAAAAGAGCCCCCAAAGTCTGGTCAATAAAAGCAGTAATGGACAAGCGAGTGCACAGACAACCAACAGAATGGGAGAAAACATTTGTAAAGGATTCATCTGATGTTTTATTAATATTCAGAATAAGTAAAGAGCTAAAAAATCCAACATTTGAAAATACATTTTTCAGTAAAAATGGGGTAAAATGACACATATAAACCAATTTTAAAAACCATACATCTACACTTATATAATCTCCAAAACACATGCCAGTAGTCCAATGGTGACCTTCAGGAGTGCTCATGATCAGATGAAGGAAGGAAGCTTCTGAGATTAATTAGAGGGATGAACTCACTTGGTAAAAATTGAGCTGACACTTAGAATTTGTGCTCTCATGTCTGTGTAAGTGATATTATAACCAAATCTACTCTCATATTTTCAAATTTCATTCTGATCTATCTCTAGCACTTCTGAGTGGATCTCTGCATACACACGTATAGTGGCTGCTGTAGGTATTAGGTTCTATACGTAATTCATCATAGTGTATGGGCACGCACATTTTATCACGTTGAGTGAAATGCAGACTAGACCTCCACATAGACCCTTTTATTCCTCCACTTACCATATAACTGTCTTAAACATTTCATCTACATACATCAATAATCACACAAATGCCTCAACTATCATGTATAATTTTTCAGAATTTCTGGAGGAAAAAATACTGCCCTACATTTCTTCATAATTTTACACTTGACTGTATTCTGTTTTTTCTCCTTGATGTTCCAACTTGGCTTTTTTACTCTTTCCATTCTTGTTTGAAGAACTTCAATTTATTACTGTTTTAGATTGGTGAGAATATTTTTTCTTGTTTTGTTACATTTTAGATTGATTTTGTTTTACCTTCATTCCTTCAAGATGTTTTCACCGGAAACAGAATTCTGGGTTTATAGTTCTTGCTTGGCACCTGAAAAATGTGTTGCCACCACTTTATGGTCTTTGTGGTTTCTAACAAGAAATCAACTGGCACTAAAGTAGTAACTCTCCTATAAGTGACACGTCATTTTTCTGTATCTTCTTTCAAGACTTTCAGTTTTCAGAAATTTTATTTTGATATCTTTTGATGTAAATTTCTGTTTGGGGCTCGTTCATTTTGAAACTGAAGGTTTATTGTTTCCATCAATTGGAACCATCATTTCTTGTAGGTTTTTTCAGTTCCACTCCCCTCTCCCCTGCTTCCAGAACTCTGATAATGCAGATGTAACCTTTCATTGCATGACAGGTTCTTCAAGTTGTGTTCCTGCTTTATTCCCAGGCTTTTTTCCCCCTGCTGTTGAGAGTGGATAACTTATTTGATTCGTTCTTGGGTTCAATGACCCTTTGCTCTGTCATCTCTACTATATTGTTGAGGCTCTCCAGTGAGATTTTAAGTTGAAACTCTAAAACTCAGTTCTACAGTATTTTTTAGTTGTAACTTTTTCATGTGATTTTTCTTTGCATCTTCTATTTCTTTGTTGAAATAATACATTTACTCATTGGCATCAAGTGTGTTAGTAATTTATCCTCTCTCTTTGGAAAAACATTTATTGACTTACTTATTTGTGAGGCAAAGAAAGAGTGAGTTTCCATTATACTGATTAATTCTCCAAATGCCTGTTACAGCCTAGAGTCTGAATCTGGGAATGCAACCTGGGTCTGTCACTTAGGTGCTAGTGACCCAATTGCTTGACCCATCACCACGTCTTTAGCATGTATATTAACAGGATGCTGGAGTCATGAGCCAGAACTGGGGATCATTTCCAGGTACTTCAGTATGGGACTGAGATCTAATCAGTGGCTTTTGCCAAATGCCTACATGCTCCAATGTGTTAGCTGGCTTTTCATCACTAAAACCAAACATCCAAGGATACTACAAAGGGGAGAGGTTGATTGAATTTACAGTTTTAGAGGCTTAGATCCAAGATGGTTTGGGTCCCCTGGTTTGTCCTCTGATGAGAGTGGCAGACGACAACGGCAGAATGTTGATAGAAGATCACATTATTGGGCCACGAAGCAGAATAAGAGCAGGTGAGCCTGACCTGGGGTTTTCCAACCAATCTTTTCAGAATTTGTGGGTGCATGTTTCCAATGACCTAAAGACTTTCCACAAAACCTATAATCCTCCTGAGCATCACAAACTGACCAGTTATATACCTTCCTACTCCAGCAAGATATGACTTCAGGTTTAAACATTTGTGTGAGTTTGGGAGCCATGTTATGCTCAAACCATAGTGCTCAGGGACTTACCATCATCAATCCTTTAGTTCTAAGAGCTCTAACTATGCTGCCTTGTTTTCTTCAGTTTCCAATATTTTCTTTTGGTATTTATGTCTAGAGATGTTTGCTCTACTTATTGAAGCACTAGCAAGAAATGCAACTGAAATCCCGACTTTCATTTGTTAAAAATAATATTAATACAGCAGTTGGAGGGTTCTATCTTTCAACCCATTACCTGTCTTCATCAACATATTTCTGTAAAATGGCAAGGGCGCTGGTGCCAGTGGAGGAGCTGGGTAGAGCAAATCTGGTTCTAGTGTGATTCAGTAGAAAAGTTGCCTTGCCTTTTTCGCGGAGCAGGAGCAGGTGGCTACACTAGTGTTTACTTACAGCAGGCCAAGTCAAAGTATGGCCAGGACTGTTCCACATCTCTGCTGATGTTACAATTCCCACATCCTTGGGAGCAACAGTAACCCTGCCTTGTGAATTACAAAGTTACTTATGGTGTCTTCCCATGACCTCTTTGGAATCCATGCTGAACATTCGCTATACTGATGCTGTATCTTTCCAAGTTGGAAGAATCTCCTTCAAGAGGCCAGGAAACAGTTGCCCTCCTTCCTCCTATCCCTGCAGGGCAGGGGTAACATGCTTACTTGCTGTAGAGGCTCAGGCAAGTCTCAGGTGATTCTGTTTGCTCTCTGGAGTCCCAGTAGCACAACCCAGTGCTCCTCCCAGACGTGCAAAGCAGGCCATGGGAGGCCTTTCCAGGGCAGCCTGCCTTAAAGCATCAGAGTTCAGTGAGCAGACCCACAGTGGCTACCTGCGCCCTCCCTGCCCCCGCCGGGGTGGGAGAACTGCCTACGAAGGCTCTCCTCAGGATCTTTGTATGTGTGAGCCACTTCACAATCTATAAGGCCACAAACCAGACTGTTCATATCTTTGATCAGGGTTTGCCAGCCGTGCCTACACCCCTTCTTCCAGTAGAATGTGCATGCAAGGCTTTCAAGAGAGGAGCAGTGATTGGAAGCCACAGGCTACAACGGAATAGAACAGTTGACTCTGGAAGCCACAAAGACTGCTCGAGACCCAGAGATTCCCATGAATTGAGCATTTATTGATGGTGGAGGCACTGAGGGTGGGAGGTAGTTGTAACAGACATCAAGAAGGAAAATCGTGGAACCAGAAGCAGCCAGAGAATCCGGAGACTTTTTCTGGGGCTTGTCTGGACCAGAAGGATAGGGAACCCTCGGGCAATATCATGAGAGCGTTAGGCCCACCGGCGCCCACGGAGAACACCTGCAGCTCCTCGGTCTCCGTGGTAACCTGGGGGTCTTACTTGCACGGCCAGGAAGGCGCCTGCTTCTGCTGGGTCTGGTGGCACACCGGGACGCCCTTGCCGCCCCCAGAAGAGCCGCCTCCGCAGCTGGAGCCGCCGCCGCTGCCTCCGGAGGAGCCGCCGCCGCAGCTGGAGTAGCAACCGCCGCCACTGCCCCCGGAGGAGCCACCGCCACAGCTGGAGCCGCCCCCGGAGGAGCCGCCGCCACAGCTGGAATAGCAGCCGCCGCTGCCGCCGGAGGAGGAGCCGCCGTAGCTCTGCTGGGGCGCGCAGCAGGACTGGGTGGACTGCAGCGAGGAGTAGTAGCCGCCGCTGCCGCCCGAGGAGCCGCCGCAGCTGGAGCCGCCGCCGGAGTAGCCGCCGCTGCCACCGCCACAGCTGGAGCCGCCGCCGGAGTAGCCGCCGCTGCCACCTCCGCAGCTGGAGCCGCCGCCGGAGTAGCCGCCGCTGCCACCTCCGCAGCTGGAACCGCCGCCGCTAGAGCCACCGCCGTAGCTCTGGCATTGGTAGGGATGGCTGGAGCCGCCGCCGCCCGAGGAGCCGCCGCCGCCCGAGGAGCCGCCGCCGCAGCTGCTGGAACCACCACCGCTGCCGCCGCCGCAGCTGGAGTAGCAACCACCGCCGCTGCCCCCGGAGGAGCCGCCGCCGCAGCTGCTGGAGCCGCCGCCCCCGGAGTGGCCGCCGCCGCAGCTGCTGGAGCCGCCGCCGTAGTACTTGACGCCTCCTCCGGAGCCGCCGCCGCAGCTGCTGGAGCCGCCGCCCCCGGAGTGGCCACCGCCGCAGCTGTGGCCTCCGCCGCCCCCGGAGTGGCCACCGCCGCAGCTGTGGCTGTGCCCGCCACCGCCGCCGCTGCTACCGCAGCTGGAGTAGCAGCCGCCCCCGGAGGAGCCGCCGCCGCTGGAGTACTTGACGCCTCCTCCGGAGCTCCCGCCTCCGGAGTGGCCGCCGCAGCAGACGTGGCCGCCGCCGCCACCACCACCGCTGGAGTGGCCGCCGCTGGAGTGGCCGCCGCAGCACTCGTGGCCGCCGGAGTGACCGCCGCAGCTGGAGCCGCCGCCGCCGCCGCTAAAGAAGCCGCCGCCGCCGCCTCCGCCGCCTCCGGAGGACTTCCCGCAACTCACGGGAGGGTAGGAAGTGGGCTGCTTCTTCTGATGAGACATCTTGTCTAGGAAGGAAGGAGATCCTAGAAGGTGAGCAGAGAACCGTTGCTGGACCAACTGCCCGAGGATGCAGCTGCGGAGGCGGCGGCGGCTGCATCCATAGCAACACGGTAATGCTACTGAACTTCTAGAAGTCAGCCTGGACCGCGACTAAAGTTCTGTTGGGGGTGCCTCCTGTACCAAAGGAGCTGGGACCCTTGGATTGCGCCTTTTGGGAAAGAGTCAACATCCCTCCCCTTCCAAACCCTCAAGTCATCACTAAGCCTTCAATAGCCCAGCAAGTGGTGCTCTCAGCTCTCCCCTCGCAGGTGTGGCTTGGAGGCAGATCACCCACACTCCTGTCTCTTTCTCATCACTTGTAAAAAAGAGTTTGAAAAACAGAGTTTGAACACATCACTCCTAGGATCTCTTTCAATTTCAACCCTGATTTTTCAAGTGCAAATAGAAAATGGCCACAAATGTTTTCAAGAATGGATTATTTCCCTCCCCAAGACCCCCAGCACAGCAGAGGGAGGCTTGTGGGTCTGTCAGAAGGCTCTTAGCAATTCCTTCCCTGCAAAGCCCTTCACTCAAACCCCTGATCTGTTCCCCTGATCTGTTCCCCTGAGCTGATTGGTGATCCAAGGGCTAGTTATTAGATTAAAAAAAAAGAAAAAGGCTTGGCCACAATTTTGTCTTAAGCAGAGCAAGATCCTGGTAGATCTATGGACAGAACTCCAACCCACAAGACAGCAGTCACTTGCTTTGTGGCTTGCTTAACCCCAAACATGGCAGAGGACATCGGAGCTACTACGAAGCTGCATCCCAGCATCTCACAGGTGTCATTTTCCTGTTAGGTGAAAATGGGCTTAGCTTCTTCCCATCACAGGCTCAAGAGGTGCCTTCAGCTCTGGCACAGGCTGCTTTGTCCAGCACCTGCTGGAACCCCCTTTGCCCAGCACCATGCCTGCCCCTGTAGGGGTGGCGCAGAAGTGGAAGGTAGCCTGGTCTTGTGATATTTCCATTCTCAGACCACTGCTTCACTCCCTGCCTGAATCTCATCACAGCCTAACTTGAGTTGGGAAGGCAGAATCCCTATAGCACAGCTCCCGAAGGGAGTGGAGGCCTTGGTTCACCACTGTCAGCTGGCCTCGGCCACACCAGCTGGGAAGAGGAGAGAGCTGGTAGGGCTCAGACTTACCCGAAGCACCAGGAAGCGTGATTGAGGAGATGTTGGTGATGTGAGGAGCACTGGGGCACCCGAGGTTTTATACCCATCAAAGGGTGTGATAGCTCAGCTACGTGACCTGTGTAGGGCCCCACCTTCCAGTGATTGCAGGCACAGGGTGGCCCATTCACGAAAGTCTCAGCATTCTTGGGATAGATTGCCACTGTGACTGGACCACCTCTGATGCAACTTGTGGCGGGTTGTCAGTGGGGATGGTCATCTGGAGTGGATGGCAGACATTGCTTTTGAAGTCCCTGGCACAGGGCACATGCCATAAGCACAGGGCTGCATTTAGGAATAGGTTCCAGACTGCTGAGGCAACCTCATTGAGTCAAACTGGGGGGCTTAGTCTCTAGTGTAAGGAGTAGGACCTTTCCATTGGTTGGCTTCTCACTGCGTTGGGAACCCTCAGAACTCTAGATTCTGTCCCATTTTAATAGCATTTCTCCCCTATGTTTTCATATATGCCCTGTTGGAGTGTTTTTGTCTTGCCCACCGGGTTGTGAGGTTGCTTCTGTACCCTAACACCCAGTTTCAGATTGCACACCATAGACAATATGGTAACTAATGTGCCATTGATGGCAGCGTTGATTTGTTCCTGGAGGTGGTATGTGTCTGAGGAAGTGGATTGTCAGTATGGGCTTTCCTTGCAGAAGAATAAGCTAAAGAGAAGGACTGCATGGCTCTCTCTACCATGGCCCTTTGGTGATGTTGTCCTTTGGTGTTGACCTCAGCCTGAGGGGCAGCCGTGGAATGGAATGCATTTGTGGTTTAGCTAACTGGGTTTGGGTGCTCCCTTTGCTACTTGCCTGCTGTGTCATGTTGAGCAAAGCCAAAGCACTTCACGCAGTGCCTGCACATCAGAGACACTCAGTATTGCTGACTGTTGAGTGATCAAGCTTTTGGCACTCAACAACCTTGCCTATCAAATACTATTATAAAATAGGTAATACTATTTCACAGGCAGGCGAAGAGGGACTAGTTATACAAAGTATAAAAGGTACTGTTGTGCTTTTGTTTGTCCATGTAATAGCACACCCTTATTTCCAGCCTGGCCTGCCCTTGACTACCAAGTCCAGGAGGAGTCCAAGGATGGCTTGAGGCAAGCTGAACTTTACCTGGCAGGGTAACTCAAAAGCTCCAGAGAGAGGCATTTGGCTCAGCAGTTAATGTGCTGATTGCAATGCCTGCATCCTGTATTGGAGTGTAGAGTTTCAATCCCGGCTCTGCTGATATGCACCTTGATGGGTAACAGGTGTGGATGCAAGTGCCTCGGTCCCTGCCGCCCAATTTGGAGCTTGAATTATGAGCTCCTGGCTTTGGCCTAGACATTCGGGGAGTGAGCCAGTGAATGGGAGATTTCTCTGTCTCTCATTCTTAAATACAAAGAAATCAGTCCTTTCTTTTTGAAACAAAAAGAAAAATACTGCCCTACTGACCCTGAACTAGTATCTCTCTTCATCATCTAGGAGCAGGAAGAATAGTGTGTCCCCCCTTCTTTCATCATCAGAACTCAGTTGCTGTTGTTTCACATAGCACATTTGAAGTTTGTTCCACCCATCTGTGTCCAATAGTAAATTGGCTGTTAATTATGGTGGAGTTTTAATGATGTAAATAATCGTGGCTAGACTATGGCCTTCAGAAACTGGTGGCACTAGTTTCCAATTGGACGGTATTAACCCCATACACCTAGGAAGAACCGAGGTGCTCCTGCTTCTGAGAGAACAGGCAGGTGTTGGAAAAAGGTGTTGGAAAAAGGCAATTTTCTCATCTTGAAGCTGAAGCATCATGCCAATTTGGGAATCAAGTGATCCTCAACTAGTGATCGCTTTGAGTATATAAAAGAACCTTTGAGGTAGCCAGGCCACATTAGAGAAAAGGAGCAGTTGCAAACCATGGTTCCTTGCACTGGATTCAGGATGGATTGTTTCTGTAGATTCTCCTGGTCCTTAGGGAAGCTGTAAACAAAAGACGTCGTCAAGTGTTCACAGGAATGGAAGTCTTTAATCCTGAAGTCTTGGCCCTTCCATCTTTTGGTGTGCTAAAATAGCTTTTCAAAGTGATGGCAATACAGGGTTCTAATTGTTTTTTTCATGTGTTTACATGTCAAAGTTAAATTTTGGCAACTATACAATGATCCCTATACATTTGGTGGGAGAAAGTTTTAAAATTTGGTAACTCCAAGTGCTGTTAACTGCCAATAGCTAATAGTCTTTAAGTTGTCCCTATTAACTTCGAGGCTTCATGTTCTAAGAAAGATATAGAATGGTTTTTTTTTTCTTTTTTTTGCCGTCTTCCTTCTCTTCATCCCTCCATTCTGGGGTGTTTAGTATCTTAATTTTTCATTCATGACTCTAGCCCAACACAAGTGTACTAGGCACAAGACTTTCCAAAGCTGTGCACAGTTCCTGGGCGAGTTCTGAATTGGGGATGGTGCTGTGTGTCATCCTCTGCCACCCTGTATAGCACCTGATAAGCAGCAAAGTTCTCCCTAGTACATCCGCCTTGCTAACACGACCCTGACAATGGTACCTGAGTTAGTCTTGCTAGAGAAGTGACTCTATGAGCCCAGTTTCTCATTTTTTTTCTTTCCAATGAAGTCATATTATGGAGGTATCTGAGTGCATGGCAACTGATGATTGCTTTTTCTTTCCTATCAGTGAGGCAATAATGGGTGTTGGAAATATTCTGACACATAGTTATTTGGAGTTTTGTAAGACATGATGTATCAGATTTTTGAAGATTTATAGCCCTCAGACACTTAACCCTGAAATGTGTCCTTGTTAGTATATCTGATTTCTGCAATGTGACAGATTAGAACATAGTTTCTGCCTATACTTATACCCATAGAAGGGACAGGCTCTTAAAACAAGAGCTTCTCATTGCCCCATATAGTTTTGGGTGTTAATAGGAAGTTGGGGGAATTCCAGTGGAATTGAAGGGAACTCTTGAAATCTACCAAGTAGCAGGAGTTGAGATAGTTAAATATCTAGGAGTGATGGGTTTTACTTTGGAACTTCAAGCCAACCACTGTGTTTATTGAACCAGCACGGTGCAGGGAGCTCAGCGCTAGCTACAGGGGTGATGTTTGAATAGTGGAATTTTACTCTGCTCCATATTTATTGTGCTGTCAATATCTATTTGGTAGGAAGATGTAGAAGCCGTGTGCACATTTGAATACATATGTAAATGTGTGCTTTTTGGTGTGTGCGTGAGTGTGAGTTTGAGAGAGAGAGAGAGACAGAGAGACAGAACTATCTGCTTTCTATTGGTTCATTCTACAAATGGTCACAACAGCCATGGCCAGACCAACATCAGGAGCCAGAAGCTTATTTAGAGTCTCCTACATGGGTGCCAGTGGTCCAAATACTTGGGGTATCTTCCCTTTCTTTCCCAGGCATGTTAATATTAGCAGGGAACTGGATCAGAACTGGAACAGCCTGGACATGAACTTGTGACCATATGGGTTGCTGGCATCACAGGGTTTCCCAGCTCTGCCACAATGCTGTCCCCCAAAGTGATCTTTTGAAAGATGTGCTTGTCTAAGGTTTTGAGGATATCTTGTGGATTAGCCACAGTTTTACAGATAAGTCCTTTGGAGAAAATTCATAATCTGATCCACAAAGTTACAGGAATGTGGAAACCCATTCTTTCAGCTCCTCAGCTTATCTTATTTCTGTGGGAAGATCACATCTTTCTTTTCTGTTTTTTTAAAGATTTATTTATTTTTATTGGCAAGTCAGATTTCAGAGAGATGGAGATACAGAAAGAAAGATCTTCCATCTGCTGATTC